CTCCTCGTCTCTCTCTCTCACAAAGAAAGACCCAAACCCATATAACCCCAAAAAGGTATATTAGTAAATCCTCTCTTATAATCGATATATTCACAAAAATCTTTGCTTTTCTGACCCTTTGCTCTTTTCTTTCTCACTTTCATAGGTTTTGGTAAGAATTGAATTATTGCTTTTTATTTTTGATGTATTTTTAGTTGGCATGTGATTTTTATTTTTGTTGATTTCTTTGTTCTTACATAATTCAGAATTGTGGATAGAAAATAGGGATAGTGGCTATAACGGACTGCTGTTCTCGCTATTTCCCATTAAGTTGTTCTATTGTGGTCGCAACTTACTGTTTTGACTATAATTCAAATTCACAATCATTTTTTCTCAAAAAGCGGTGACGGATGGCAGGGTTACCGCAAAATAACGGTCGCTATTCCGCTATTGCGCCACTATTTGATTCCTAGGTAGCAACTCCATATATTGTGTCTAATGAATTGATTCTAGGACTATATACATTATGAGAGCTATAACTATAAAAGGAAAAAAGTATCATAAGAGTTAAAAAAAGAAAACATCCATTGGTCTCTAAAATGATTGAAAATATAATTGTTAAAGATGAAATTAGGAGGATACTTGTTCATGTGTTTGGACCTAAAATTGGGAAGTGCCTCCAAAGGTGATGCATCCACTATGATATCTTGCATAATATGTACATCTTATGGTGAAAATGTAATACTAGTTCCTTGAAACAAATGATAAATCAATGCTATTCTTCAATTTGCCAAATGAAAAAATATCTTGTCTCATCAAAAGTTATAACAACATAAAGATCCATCCTAAAAGGAATTTGATTTATTGAAAAGGTAAAACACACGTTACATCATTGCCATTATAGGATAGAAATAACGCTTCAATTCTATATAGTACCTGTCATCATTATATCTTTAAGACTTTTGAGATGATTATCTGAAGCTTTGTAAACAAAAGTTCAAATAGCATTATATCAAATAATATCCAAAGGTGCACAAAAATTGAGAAAAAAATAATAAATTAGTCTAAAAAGGCTTACCTTTCAGTACACATATCACCATCCAATCCCATGGCATCCAGATCCAATGTCTTAGGTAAAGTGATAGCCTGAAAAGGATGCTTACCGAAAACTTTGAAAATAAAAAATTAGAAATACCAAAACTTTTTAAGATTAATAAATCCCAAAAAATTGCATGCAAAGAAAAATAATTAAAAAAAATATACTAAACATGCAAAGAAAAAAAAAAGAAGAAAAAAAGGAAAAGCATCCAATATTTACTTAATTAGACACACCGGTAAGTTCATGAATACTCTTCGCAAATTGTAAATATGATACAAGCTAAAAAATCACACACAAATTGCATTAAACTATAAAAGCCCAACTAAACACCAAAAAATTAAATTTAATAATAAAACTTACCTTTAAAACTAACTTATCAGTATCTCAAAGTCTATGATTGCCAAACTTAAAATAAAAAAAAATCAATTCAGAACCTTAATTAAGAAAGATCGAAAATGAGAGAGATGCCTTACCTTTTTCTGTTTCTGCTTCTGCTTCTAGTGAGGAGTTGTTGATGGGGATGATGCTACCGGAATCAGCGCAGAGTCTACCATTATCAAATCCATGAGCATTGTCCCCGAAGAGTCCTTCAAGAAAAAGTAAAGATTGGGTTTCAAGATTGCATAAGGTATCTCTGGAAGCTCTTTCTTTCAAATAGAAATACAACTGAGAATATTAAAGTAAGATATAATTGAAAGAGTTTTTACAAAAATTATCTCTTTCAATCATCTTTTAATATATTATTGAACTGTCTATAAAAGTTTAAAAGGGAACCGTATTTATATACAGTATAGATTTTCCTCAAAATTGGATCTACTTATTTGAATCAGGCTAATGGTTCTATTGACATGTTGTTTGAACCAAGGAATGTGGTCTAATAGGGCTAGTCACCTACAAATGTTATTGAAAACGATATTCCTACTAAGGAAATTAGATTGTTGTTTAAAAAGGGAAAATAATTTTTTTTCTAAACTCAATGGCTTATGTATTTTTCCTGTACTTAATTGGTTAGCAAAGTGATTACTTGAATGGCTACTATGAATTATGCTACCGAGTATTGTATTCTTATTTAAGTGAAAATTACTTAATACTAGACCTATTTAAGAGTTGAGCTACCTATCTAAACTCAAAAATTCATTTGAAATTTGGAAGGGTGTGAATATAAATTTTAGGTTCATTTAGAAAATGAGTCGAGTCTTAGACATGAAGTTTAAGACCCAGGTTTGAATTACTATTATATATTTTTTATTTATATCTATATTACATAAAGATAAATAGATAATTAAACAATATATATTTATACATTATTTTCTTATATTTATTTATACTAATAACATTTAAACACTAAATTAAATTAATAAAATATTTTTTAGGCTTTATTTCATTGGGTATTTATTTTACTATAGTCAATATTTATTATAAAAATTATTTTTTGTTTTTATTTATTTAAAAACATAAAATATGGACAAGCTTAAATAGAATATTTTTAAAATAAGCTGGGCCTAGACAATAGAATGAAGCCCATATTACAAATTAGGCAAGATCAAGCCTGGACAAGTTTAAAGCTTATAAATAAATTGTTTAGGTTCCACTCAAATTCAGCTCAATTCAACTCTTAGACAAATTTACTTGATAAAATAGAGTTTCCCTCATCATTTAAAATTTAAGATTAATTGATTCCAACATGGGTAAGAGAATTACTAACCCACATTGTCTAACTTGGCAAGCTAGTGGATGATGAAGGCATATACAATGTGGGTTAAACAGTAATAAAAGTGACGAGTGAGTGTCCATGAGGATTGAGTTGCATAAAGGTATAAGTCACCAAATCACAACCTCTCAACTATAGTTAGCTCAAACGAATTAAAAAGAATGATCTAACACCTAATTTAACTAAGGAAACATGTAAATTGCAAGTAATGACAGGCAAATAATGCTAAGTAAACAATTTAAAATAAAGCAAGAAATGAAACAATGTAATTGAACAATTACTCAAATGAAATCAAGACTAATCTAAGAATGCATGAAATAGGCAGCAATTGAAATGAAAATGAATTTAAATGCATGTAACAACAATCGGACATCAAAGGATCAAAGTAGAAAATTGAATGTAAGTAAAGCAATAAAAATGAAACTAAAAAGCATGAAACAAATATGACTTAAGCTCTAAGTGCATTAATGAAATGTATGTAAACAAATATGAAAATGATCTAATGAGCAAATGAAATCAATGCACGAAAAAGCAATAAAACCGAGACCAATGATTCAGAATTGAACATAGAATATTGAAACAGAATTTAAAATTGCATCAAGAGAAAATAAAGATCCAATCATCAAACATGAAAATGAACTCAAGAGAACTTAAGAACATGAAATATAACAAATAAGTTGCAAGATCAAATAAAAAAATCAACTTACAACCAAAACTCAAAAACAGAGAAAATAGAACCAAACAGCCATCAAACTCAAAAATCATAATGAAATTGCATGAAATGTCAAGAAAATATGCAAGAAAATAAAGAAAAATCTCATCCAAATAGCCTCTTTTACAGAAGAAAAGAATTGCCTAGAGAGAATTACAATAATATCCTTGGCCAAAAATAATCCAAATTCCATATCTCTTTTAGCTTGTAAAAACAACACATACAGGCTGCCTTCTTTCTTGAGCTTGAATGCAATTTTCTTCCATTCCTTTCAATCTTCCTTTAGTTCAATGAAGTCTCTAAGCAATTTGAACGCTTTAATGTATGACTTAAACTCTTCTTAACATGCTTCAATGCATCTTTGACTAGCTCAAACTCTTGACTACTCGATTTCTCATCATGTCAACTATTGATTCGGTCATTTAGCACATTTAGCTCCAAACTGATTCAAAATCACTTCAAAATTATCCAACTTTGCCTCATTTTTCTTATTTTATTAAATTTTACCTATACACGAGAAATTTTTATAATTATGAATATATTTTCATGGATTTACTTAAGAATTAAGTAAAAATCACCATAAAACCATATGATAATTCTATAAATTTATGGAATTATCAATGTATTTTCTTTTTCTTCTTTCTTTTAAGATTTCATAGTAGTAACTCTATTATTTCTAGTTACAACTATTCTAGCACAATCCATTACAACTGTCCATAAAATTCACAACAAACAATCTAATAGGATTCACTTAACATGAAGCAAAACTCATATTTATCTTAAAAGGGTAAGCCTAAACATTTGTAAGAACGGTGCATGGGATTTATTTAAAACTTATAGAAGCAAATGGAGGTTTTAATTCACAGACGTTGGAAGTTTCCTGCATAAAATACAATAGAAGACAGTTTGTTTATTTGAAAAAAATTAAAATACTTGCTTTGAAGTAGGCATTTTTCCTGGAAATTATTGTGAGTGAACGAAAGAAAAGAGAGGCATGCCAAACCCAAAATCTTGTATTTCAATTTAAAACTATTAATAGAATTATGGAGAATAACAAACAACAATGTTTCAATTATCAAAATAAAAAAAGAAGTTGCTGTGTGTATTCAAATAAAAGAAGGAGATTCTTTAAATCCAAGAATTTTTACTTGGGATTGAACGAGGATGGATCACAATTCTTTTAACAACAATACAGAAATTGCTGCTTGGACTTTTAAAAAATATTAAAAAAAAAAATACCATAAGCATGTGCTGAGATCTAAATATTAAGTTTTTTAGAGCAACTAATAACACCTTTTATTGAAACTCAGCGAGCCCAACAGGCCCTTGCTACTATTTTTTAGCATACGAAAAACTCAAAAAATTGTGTAATTCCCTCGAGAGAATATGTATCAGGCCTGGCCCTAGACACATGTAAGTAGCGATGGCCCAAGGGAGAGGAGGACCCAACGTCTAAAAGTAGTGTGGAATTCGCTGTTTAGTTTCCAAGACTCTAACCAAAACGAACCAAGCCCATCTTTAACCGTAGCACAGCCTCTTTCTTTTTGTTGTTATTGGTGCTGAAGAAAATCAGGTTCTTCACATATATATGAAATTATAAAAAAAAAAAAAAAAAAATTGTAGTGAATTGGGGTGGATTGCTTGTGGATCCATTGTTTTTCTTTTCGTTGAGATTACAAAAAAATTTGATTTGAAATATACAATCAGAATAAGCGCGATGGGTCTTAAGATATTTCTGGTGGTGGTGGTGGGTTTGGTTGCAGCAGCTCAGATATCATTGGCATCGACGGTGCCTGCTTTTCTATGGTCGCCGGAGTAAGTTTTTTTCTTTTCATTTTCGTAATTTTAATTTCATTGGATCAAATTTGTAATAATTGAAATTTTCTAGTCTTGTTTTTCTTCTTAAGAGGTGCAAATTGGGATCTCATTTCTTTGAAACATTTTTGTTGGTGCTTACAGCTTCTCTAGCGTTGAATTGAAGGAATCAGTAAATTATCAGGTCATGTCCCCCAAGGATCTAGCCAACTCTGTTATCTCTCAAGGGGGCTGGTCTCACTTACTTGTATTTTTCACTTTCTTTCCCTTCAATATTATATAACCATGGTCTTAAGTTTGCTAATTGCCTTGATTAATATCCACTTTCCTTTTTTGCTTTTAGTGCTCCGGGAGCCAACATGAGCACCGTGTTGATCTGGCCATTGTTTTTGTTGGTAGAGAGGTAATGTTCTTAATCTCTCATTAGTATCCCTTTTCATCAACAATCCTTGCATATAATTATCTAAATTAGCAGTTTTTCTTAATCGCCAAAAACAAAATAATAATAGTAATAGACAGCTTTTTTCAATTAATTGTTTATTTGATTTAAACTTTACTCAAATTGTGCAAAGTGAATAGCTTACTTCTTTTGATAGTGCAGCGGAATAGGTTTGCAATTTTCTTTTCACAAAATCAAGAATCAAATTGAACGAGTTAAAAACATTTATAGTGTTGGATGTTAGTTGAAACACTAAAAATCAATTTTGTTGATATTATCATGTTGTGATCTTGATAGAAATATGATTGTGATGGTAATGCTATTTTCAGCTTATAAATGTCTCATTTCAATACACTCACCCCTTACAAGCTCATGTAAATACATTTGGCCTATATAAGCTTTATTTATTTATCCTTTTCTTAAAGGAATTGAAATTGCATTTAGTTCACTGTTGCATTGTGATTAACTGCAATCCCTGCTAGCATTCATATCCATGCAACTTATATTAGTTCCTTCATTCCCTGTAGTTGCACTCTTCAGATGTTGCAGGAAACAAACATGTAGACCGTGCTCTTATGAACTTGCTTAAGGTAACAATAATTCACCTGATTGCAATTTTTTTTTCTTGTTTGTTAGATTTACTTGTTGTTGTTATTAATTAGATTAGATTCTACATTTGTGATTTTTTATTACTGATTCATACTGTCAAACAGGTCTCTTTTACCAGGTCCAATTTCTCAATGGCATTTCCATATGTTGCTCCCTCTGAGGAGGAGACAATGGAGAATTTATTGGTTTCTGGTTTTAAGGAAGCTTGTGGGCATGGTTTGGGAGTCAGTAATGTTGCATTTTCGGAATCATGCTCTATAGAGGGTGGAGATTTCCAGAAACTTGGAAACTTGCATTCAATCAATGTAAGTTAACCTCAATAATTTTATTTTAAATGACTCATTACAATAGGTGGTGATCTGTGAAAGATTTTAGTGCCTTGTCTTCTTCATATTATTGATTCCTTCACAATTTTCTGACAAACAATAAACAGGATCATCTATTTTCAAGGATGGAAAAGAGAACAAAGGGGGAGACCGATTTGGTTGTCCTATGCCATGGAGGCACTCAATCAATGAAAGAGCTTAACCCACCATGCCCTGAGAGTATGATATATTAACATGTGTCTTATTTTATTGAAGACATATTAGTGTAAAATGTATTTATGTGATTTTTTTTTAATTTATTGTATAGGTGAGATTATGAATGAAGTTATCAGCACTGTGGAGCAGTCTGGGGCAAAATATGCAGCTCTTTATGTTTCCGATCCTTTTATTTCGATCCGCTATCCTGGTTACAGAGAGCTTGAAAGATTTCTTGCTGAAAGTGCTGCAGTGAATGCTTCAACCAATTCCAAAGGCTGTGATGAGGTTTGCAAGATAAAATCATCACTCCTAGAGGGAGTGTTAGTTGTAAGTCTTTGTCCTTGCCTCTACGCTTTTCTCTTTCCTCTGTTTTAACTACAAGGTTTTTTTTTTTTTTGTTATTTATATACTTTCTCTGTTTTAAATTGAATGTCAATCTTACTATTCTAGGATGTTTCAAAATAATGTTGATTTTCCCAAAATGGAAAACACTTTTTGTAATATTACTGTTCGTACTAACTTTATGTGGGTGCCTCTGGCTTTCACATCTTTTTATGGAAAGCTTTTACAACTTTTAAGGGCAATAGTTGTAAAGTAAAGAACAAAATACCTCATTCGTAAAACTTTGTCCCATTTTGGAAAGTGAACATTCAATTTGGAGTGAAGAGAGTACATACATACATAGATATACATATATATATGTATATATGTGTACACATATGTATAGATGTATACATATATATACATATGTATACATATGTGTACGCATATATACATATATATGTATATATATGTATGTATGTATATTTTCCACATTTCCCCCATTGTCACATAAGAGAACATGTTCTTTTCAACTCTATGTCAGATGTTAGTTTGTGTTGTGGCAATATTTATCTTAGTGATCATTTGCATAAGAAGACAGTTCATACTATGGAAATTTAATTTAAATAAATTTATTAATAGTTTATTGTATATTATAACAAACAAACGACTTGGTTATAGGACTGTGATTTGAACTTGTGCAAAATGCTTAATCAATATAAGCTTCTGCCAACCAAGCTAACTCTGGAATTTAATGCAGTTCGTTATTGAAAATTTACATCTACTCATTCCTTGAAACCAATTTAGGAAAAAAAGAAATTAAACAAGTAATACAAATGTTACCTGAACCCAGAAGCCCTAATACGATCCTTCCAAATGCTAAAAGACCAACTTCGAAACCAAGCACCTGCTTTCTTCTAAAGAACATCCCTCCCTGACCTCATTCTTCACCATTTCCTTCTAGACTCCAGTCTCCATTGATTCCTTCTCTATCCTCTGACCTCTATTCCTCTTTGCAGCCTGGTCTCATTTTGGTTCAAAAATTCACATAATCTCGTGTTTTTTTTCTTTTTGATAAATTACATGTTTCTTCTTTTATTTTTTTCCTTTTTTTTTTTTGTTTTTTAAATTGGTCACTTATTTGTTGTATTCTTTGATTATTTTCTAATTAACCAATTTTTGTTATTTGGAGAGAAGTTGTTGAAAACTTTCTTTGATTTCTTTTTACATGAATTTAGCTTTGAAAGTTGAAACATTTTTATTCAGTGAGTTTTTTTCTTCTTTTTTTTTTTAAATCTAAAAGTATAAGTATTCTATCATTGTTATTCTATATTTTCTTTTTTTTTTTTTGTCTTGGAAAATCGGGTTTGGGTAGTTTGCAGGTATTAATATACATCTGGTCTGGTTACTAAAATTGATATTTTAGTCGAGTATTAATCAGGTTTGGATAAGGTACCTCAATAGCAGGTATTCTGCCCATTGCTATTCCTAGGTGTGCCAAGTTCTAGTCACTGCTGGTGCTTACTTTGACCTCCTCCTTCTCTCTTCTTACCTTGTTTTTTTCCTCAAATAATTTATTCATTTCCTCTTGCCACTAAATATCAATAAATAAAAGACAAGTAAATAAGCATGGTTGAGAATGTTAAACTAGATTTGTTGGTCTAAAAGAAAAGATTAGGAATGAATGTGAATGTACAAGTTGTAGGTCGCATGCATTGAGGACTAAATGAGAAACTGTTTAAGGAGTTTGGGTATTTAATGAGATGACCAATAATGGCCCTCTTAGATGGTGGTGGATATCCATGTCAATAGGAGAGGAAAACCAAAGAGAACATGGATATAAATTGTAAGAAAGAACTGTCATACTAGGGTTATGATTTTATATAGGGCATAATGGTGGAATGTGATCCTTATAGCCAACCCTATATAGTGGAAAAGACCGAGTATGCTGTTTTTGTTGCTCTTTATGGCATTTAAATAATTCGTGATTTAACCAGATTGCTGAAATAGTCGTGCTAGTTGCTCTATTACCTGTAGTAACCAGTACTATGGCTGGGAAGAATTGGATCTTTATTATTTTGAATAGGGGAGAAGTGAACTGTTGAAATTCGAAATCAAAAGAACTAAAACCTATGTTGCATAAGTGAAGTGGGCAAAACTGTTTACCATAGCCTACTTGAATTATTATGCAACTAAAAATTTTCCTTTGGTCCACATCTCCAACTTAATGTGCTTTTCTTTTAGTTACTGTAAGCTATTGTATTACTTCATTTTGCTACTAATTAATTTTTTATACAAAATAAATTTTAAAAAAATTCTCCTATCTGGTGTAACGGTAGGAGGAAGGGTAAGAGTGGTGTTGACTGCTGCTGCTGCTGCTTCTGATCTTTTGTTTGATTTAGTTTGTTTTTGTTATTATGAGTGTTATATGGATTTGAAAATGCATTCCTCTTTCTTTGTTGGTCTTTTCAGTCCTTCTGGTCTTATTGTTTGTTTTATGCATAAAAGTCTCACCACTGTGATATATATGGGCTTCTGATATGGCTTCATTACATGATTTTCAGGGAATTGTGTTGCTTTTAATTTTACTATCAGGCCTTTGCTGTATGATGGGCATTGACACTCCAACAAGATTTGAGGTGCCTCAAGACAATTGATTGGCTGTTTGGTGCAACCTAGCTTTATGTTAGCATTAAGGCTTTTGTCCCAGGGACTGGTGAAAGGTAATGCTTGTTACTTAGTTGCAATGGGCAGGAACGTTACACTGTAATATTTATTAACTTCTCAAGTTAATGTAATCATGTTGGTAATAACGAAAAATGATACTATTTTTTGAAAGTTAGTTTTGATTTTAATATTGTGTGGTTTGTTTAAGAATTCAAGATTGATGTCTTGTTTCAAATAGGACTTTGGTAAGTGGCTTTCACTTCATAGGGCTTGTTGACAATGTAATTACTGTCACTGTAACGAGAATGAGTGTCTGGAAGAGATGGTATTAGCCATTTGTCTGCCAATTTCTTCTAGTCTATCTTTTTATATATCGCAATTCATGCTACATCACTGTTTAAGTTGATGGGAAGAACCATATTATTTCCTAATTGGTCAAGTAGTTGTTTCTTCCAGACCAGTAAGTTGTCATTTTGAATGCATTATTCTGAGTACCATATCTGTTGTCTTCAATCCTTGATTTGGTTGTGTTTGATGGTCAATGTCTTCTACTAGCTAACAATGGCTCGTGGTCTTCATGAAGCTTAGGATTCTATTCATTGTATGCAGATGGCAGAAGCCATTCTTTTTCCCATTTTGATTGACTCGATGACTAAAACCTTAACCTTCACATTTAGCCCCCCTTGTTTAGCAGATGCTATAAAGAAACGTGGGAAAAAATCCCAACATCTCTGCCTTAATTCGTACTACTAGTAATGATTACCCTTTCATTTTCTTCACACACATCTCTGTCAATTGCTTTCGAGGTGTTTGCCTTCATTTTTACCTTACTCTTAAGCGCTGGCTTTCCAATGTCTATATTATTTGGATATTTCTATTATTTCATTTTTCATATTTTGCTGTTACTAGTTTTACCTATTCAATTGTCTCTGATCTGCATTCCATCAGAGAAGTGAGCAACCATCTTTCAATTTCAAGCTGAGTGTTATATAAATATTTTAGCAAGGACATTTCTCCATATGTAATTTATGTTTTTTAGTCTCATTGCATTTGTTTATTTGAAAGAGACCTTATATATCCGTATACATACACACATACATATATATGTAAGGTAAAATTTATAAGTGTTGGGAATCAAATTCCAATCTTGTAGAATTCTCTCTTTTAAAAAAAGTGGGTGAATTATTTGGTTAAACCTCAAGTTTAAAGTATTATATATATATTTCTTTTGAGAGAGAGAAATATAAGTGTTATACCTTTAAGTTGTTAAGAGAATGTGAGATTCTCAATCCATCTATTTTTCTGTCCTTTTTGGAGAAACTCTCATGCGAGATGGTAAGTATAATGAATGGTGCACGCGAATAATATTTCTGCATCGCCCCTAATCCCTACTGTAATGCCTACGCTAAAACCAATCACCCTCTTTTCACCTCTACTGTATGGTAATTGTATAAAGGTTAATTGTATAGATGCTTACATATTCGTATCAAAATCTTTGAATGCTGAGCAACGGCCTAGATGATCAGTTCACTTTTAGCCTTGATATATAAGCTTTTGGATTGCTGTCGGAGTTGTGTTTCTTTTACAGGAAGAGTTTTGATTGCTTTAGGGGTGTAGATGAATCAAATAGGAATGAATGCATATATAATATTTCTTTTTGGTTTGTTTCATTTTAGGGATTTTCGGAATCAGTTTATATTTGGTAAAAAAATTATATACCTCGGTACATTTAAACAATTGGATGTTTAACATTGATTTTATTTGGTTCGTTTTAAGTTAAATGAATTCGTTAGTAAACATTATAAGAATATATTTACGAATATATATAAATAAATGTGTTTATGAAAAATAAATAAATCATACTCAAACATGTATTAAGATTAAGGTAAAGGATAAACATGTAATGTTATTATTATTATTATAAACTAATGAATTTTAAATAATTATTAAAAAAAGTTTTTTGTAAACATAATTGAATTTAAAAAGTTTATGTTTGTGTTTGATTTATTTAATAAGTAAACGTAAAAATACTAATTAAGATAATTTGTTAAGCTCTTACTTAGTGAGGGCTGTGGGTAATAGATGAACGGATGCTCTAACCTTTAAAGAGTAAGTGCATTTTATTATATTTAAGTAAATTTATAATTTAAAATATAATATGATTACATGATATGAATATGATACAATTTAAAATATTAATGATAATTATATATAAATTTAATAAAATTATAAAAATAATATGTTTTTTATTTTTATGTTGTCATAAATTATAATACATAATTTTTATATAAAATACGATATAAATATATAAATTTTAATATTTTATACTATACAAATATATGAATTCAGCATATCTATTTTCAAGGATCTAATTGTGACTCGAAGTGCAATGGTTTAGATGGTGCACGCCCTTCGGGTCTTCTATCTTAAGTTTCGTGATTGATTGTGGTGGATGCTATTTTGTTAAGGAGAAAGGACTTTGATTGCATGGGAGGATGTTATTTTCTTAAGTTTCACGATTGACTGTGTATAGAAAATGTATTCTTTCTTATATTAAAAAAACTATTCAATCCATCACTTGAGTTTTTAAATTCCACCTAAAACGTTATTAAGGTCATAATATATTAAAATAACTAATTAAAAAAGAAGTGGTACTTCTCACAGTTTTTTTTAACTTTGTTTATAAAGTTCAAAAACCTAAATATGTAGAGAATACTCTTTGCAATAACAAAATTATCCTATTCATCGTCTGTTGAGTTTTTAAATTTTATTAGCTTGTTAGTAAAGTAATATAATCATATATTAAAAAAAATTAATTAAAAAATAATATAATAATTTTTTAATTCTATTTATAAAATTTAAAATTTTCAACGATGTATTGTAGACAATGAACTCTTCACATTAAATGCAAATGATAAGGGTTTTTTTTTTTTTTTTTTTCATGCTTTCTCATATACTTTTGTGCTTGTTGTTTCGCAATCTTAATCTATTACTTTTCCCTTTGTAATGCTTTATTAACTCTTTATTTGTTTGGCTAAAAGCCTTAAATCACTGTTTGCTGTTCACAACTCACATATTTACTTTTTTAAAGTTAAATGTTAAACAAAAATTCTTTTAATTCTAGCAAATAAAATTTTTAAATTTAAGTGAATAATTTAAAGAACATGTCAATAGTCATGATTTGTTGATTTAATTTTAGTGACCAAAAATCAATCTTTGAACAATCTCAAGTGATAAAAACATTATTTAAATAAAAAATAATAACAGTCCTACGTGAATCTTGACTATTTCAAAATTAGGATGTTTATGGTCAAGAAAAATTTGTCAAATGTCTATTTGAAAGTCATCATCAGACCTATCAGAGGGTTTGAAGTTCGAGCCCGTCTGAAATATTTAAAAATAAAATCATTTTTATTTAATTTTAATTTTAATTTTATATTTAAATTTAAAATATATTTTTAATATTAATATTTAAATATTTTTTAATATCCTAATTTAAAAAAAAAAAAAAATCGAGCCTATCCGATCCAATGGATCAAACCTTGAACAAATATTTTCTAAGATCATCGGGCCTAGCTCAACCTATAGACAATTATAGTTATCATATGTGAAGGTTTAGTAGTTTACAAAGCATAAGCTAGCACTCAGCTCACCACATTAATATGTTTTGATGCTTGGATGAACTTGTTCATCAGTCACGTTTCCATAAATATCTGTTATGGGATGGCATTGCAATTAAAGTTGAGCAGGAGAACAGAAAGGGCCTTCTACATTTCCAAAACACACTAGATTAGAAGTTAATGATTGCAAAAGATGCATTCTGTTTACCTAAAGATTCATTGACCTTTTATTCCTTGCAACTATCAACATCTGTTAAAGTAAAATCCTTGGTTGATGTTCTTATCTTTATGAAACTGATAGCATAGGTGATATTTGCTAGTTGAGTTCGAGGTACGTAACTATAGATGTGTCGAACAAATGCATGTCAAGCAAATACCTCAGACAACGAACCTGTGCTTATTTTCACTAGAAATGAAGCTCAAGAACCATTAATACATCAACAAGAATAAAACGTACCTTAAAGATGATATTTCTTCTGTAGTGAATGCCGAAACAAGCCATTATAGATGCCATAGAACCGCCAAGGTCTCTCACAAATGATAAATGATGTTTTAGTGTCAATACCACGGCAGAGTAGACTTGATGCTGCAACCACCATTCTACCCTGTACATATAACACATCAAGAAGAATGACCATAACTTGAGATGTGTTGGGATTTGTCTTGAATCTCAAAATCCCACATCGAAAGTTAAGTGAGTTTGAGTTTATCTTGTATCCCACATTGAAATTTAGTAAAGGTATAAAGAGTTTCATATTTATAAATATAATGTTTTGGTTCTGGTTTGGTAATCCTAGAGAGTTAGACACCAAGAGAATAGCTAAGTGAGTAGGCTATTAAAGGGTGTAATTGGGTTTTGGGTTAAGTTTTGAGTAAGGAGTTTTAGGAGACTTTTCTCATTCTAAAAGTCTCACAGTTGTAAAGATTTATTTGTTAGTGGATTGTGTTTGAAGTAGGCCATTTTGAGTTGGATCGAACCAAATATATTTATATGTTCTTATTATTGATTTGAGCTTGTTATTTTGTGTGTGGTTGCTGCATGTGGGTGTTATTTTTTCTAATAAGTGATATCAAAGCAAGGTTCGAGGTTTAAGGTTTGTGGGCCCAAAAGATCGTGAAGCAGAAGATGTCTGAAGAAGGTATGTCTAGTATGTCTATGCCTAAGTTTGAGATTCTGTGAATATATTTGAAGAAGGTATGTCTGGTATGCCTATGCCTAAGTTTGAGATTCCGTTATTTGATGGAAAGAGTAATTTTATGTTATGGTAAAGTATGATTCAAGATCTGTTAGTACAACAAGGGTTGGATCAGACATTAGAGAGTAGTAAGCCTGAAGGAATGTCTGATGCTAATTGGAATAGGATTCAGAAGGAGGCTGTTAGTACTATTAGATTGGCGTTAACTCAAGAAGTAAAGTACAATGTGTTGACTGAGAGTATTTTGAAAAGTTTATGGGATAAGCTTGAAGGTATTTATGCTTTGAAGTCGTTGACTAATAGATTATGTTTGAAGATGGATCTGTATTCTCTGAAGATGAAAGA